ATTTGTGCTTCATATTTTTGCAAAATACCCACTCCCGCCCTCCCCCTCCTAAGTGAATCGTCAACTATAAGCAGCTCGGGACTTTATGTGATTGATGAGTGTTGCATCGTAAAATAGAGCCGCGCGACTCTTTTTTGAGCAACAATCGCGAACAGATCGTATTTATCGGTTCACTTTGAGCTTCCATTTTAACGCCATTTTGACGAGTAGACACAGGACTTTTCGGTAAATTCTTTTAGGAGCGCTTTCTTTCTCTCCCTTTTGCCTAATCCCCTCATCCCCTGTATCCCTCCTTTTTTCCTTTTTTTCCCTCTCTTCTCTGGTGTACGGGGGGCATGCCCCCCCCCCCCGGATTTGCCACTGCCCTATAAAAGGGTTCTAAGTTAAACGATGACATTTTTGTTCGAAAATTGGCGTTGCTGCCATCTATCGGACACCGTGGTGCGGAGATGGAGGTTCCAGAACGTCGCTGCGGCACCCAGCGGAAATCGAGCTTGAATTATGCACACTGCTTATTGAATCTGAATGCAGATCACAGGTTCACAATAGCGCCGACGCCCCCAAACCCACCGCAGGTTCTTCACACCTCAGACCTCACGTTCGTCACATTTCTCTTCCTACCGACTGTCATCTGACCCGGACAAAATTCCATCGCACGTCTCACTCAACCGTTTCCCCGATTTACAGCCACGATCTGTGCACTTGATCGGAGAGGGAAGAGATTGATAATTCCATGGACGAGTTTTGTCTGCGGTTATAAGGAAAGATGCATGGGTAGTCTCTAAAAGGGCACATACCCACTCTCAGATGAACCTTGGATTCCATAATGGTACGTGCTATTGTCTAAGAATCCGTCCGGAAATTGACATGTTGCAGTTCAGGAATAAGTCGCCTAGCGGGCTAAATATTGAACTTTATAGACAAAACAATTGACAAAGAGGACAAAGGGAAAATGGAGCGATCCTATTGGTTGAGATGGGTGGTTGCCATAGACTAAGGGGCAAAATGATGGACTAGCTATAGGGTTGCTTGTGGGTTGCCGTTGAGTAGTCTATCACTTACCTACGTTAAACATTACAAGCAGCGGTTTCCAAAAATGGCAATGCTCCACTTTCTCTATTTTTCTGATTTATCTAGCCATCAGCCATCAGCCATCGGCCATCAGCCATCAGCCATCAGCCATCAGCCATCAGCCATCAGCCATCAGCCATCAGCCGTCAGCCATCAGCCATTATTTCAATGACCAGACTTGCAACTGATAGCTGCTCCTTTGATTGAAGCCAGCCACTTACGCGTAAAACAGTGGCGTGCCGTGAATGATCGATTATCGATATTTCCCCATTTGAAGCTATGGTAGAGAATCGATTATTAAGGTGTTCGCTGCGAACACTCTGTTCATCGATCCTTTTCGATAGGTTTAAATGGCAGATCAATCGATTGATTGCAAAGCACGCCACGCCACTGCCACTGGCGTAGACTTGTTATCTCACCGCCCGCCCGTGACGTCACCAAGTCTACATAAGGATAAGCTGCATGTTTCTCGAAGTCCTGCCACCCTAGACCTCTGTTTCGAGCACGTATACCACATCTCGCCCTTCTGGCACCCTAAAAGTGACTCTTATAAATTTGGGTAACTCTGAATTCATCCCAATATATTTTTATCTTTTCAGCCCCTCAAATAGTTTTTCATAATTTTCAGCTCTCCAGCCTTTTATGAAGCTCTTCCAAGTATTTTCCAATCTCGTAGTTTACTTACAGTGTGTTTACGTTTCGTAATTTTCAAGTCCCCAATAGCGCCTCCATTATACAATTCAGGATGCAGGACAGTGGAGAAATGCCCCAACTCAAAACCACCCAGTGCTCTATAGCGCACATGGCACCGAACGGCATCAGTGTGTTGTCATAAACTAGCCAATAAAGGGAACGAGAAACTGGCTCATTTCTCAACTCGACGTCACAACGTTAGCCATCTCGTAGCATCGTCGAACCGCCGAAATGTAAGTATGTGGGGGCGGCGACTACCCTGGCTGACACACCGCTTCAAAGTTACATCCCCTAATTGTGCTCGTTCAACCAAATTTATACCGGTAAGTATTACTCCGCGTGCGAGATGCTTCTCTGCCCCCCGCGAGTCTTCAATTGGACGTATTTCTATCAAACAGAACTATGTGCTTGAAGAGATGAGCCCTGAGATCCATAAGAATACATGCATTACAGGGCTCACGTCATAATGCATAAAGTTCCGTTTGACAGAAATACGTCAAATTGCGAGTCTCCTCATGAGCTCCGGAAGGCATTTAGTTATACGGACGATAGGGCTCATATTAAAAATCGGTAACGCTATTTTATCAGTGAAGGGATGGTCTGTCACGCGTGCTCATATTTTCTCCGCGCATGCCGTTCTCGTTTAGAGTGCCAGTGCCTCCACGGGCAGATAATTGCCATCTGTACTAACTGTCTTGGTCCATGAAATCTGAGCTGCTCTCCGATTGGCTCCGCCTGCTTCAGACTGTAGAAGCAGAGAAAATACATATTATAGAGACGCCGCACAGTGCGGCCCTCTGTGGACAAAAGTCAAAAATTCACAACTCGACATCTGAATATTTTTTTCGGAATTTGTTATCTTAAGGATATTTCTGACTCACTATGATGGTTTCTTTTCAAATTTTCCGCTCATGAAGTGGGGTAGAAAGTGGGCAGTAAATAGGTTGGGAATCACTGGTCCGTAAGAAGTACACGGGAAAAAGACGTCAACTTCAAATGGAGATTGCTTGCTTGAAACGCAAAATGCTCCGGGTGGTTGACATTTTCTTAATCCTCAGATATCCAACTTCAATTCTACTAAAAAGATCCTGCGACTTTTTGCGACTATCAGAGATATTTGAAGTTAAAGTTTGGGTTTTTCACGTTGCTTTTACATTTGGTGACACAGGACTAATTCGAGGTTGCCAACTTCGAATAATTTTTTCTCGAAAAACACGCAAAAAAACCTGAGGTATGACATTTTCTTAAGCCTCGAGTGTTTTACTTTGATAGTGCCAAAGGGTTTTCCTATGTCGGTGCTATTATCTTCATCATTTAAAGTTAAGTGTCTTTCGCCGATTTTTGTCCGCATCGTCCATAAGGGTGCCGCACTGTGCGCCGTGCTGCTACGTTTCTCATATAGTTTACGAGATATTAGACAAACTTTTGCGATCGACCGTGGTACAATTTTTGAATTGGTGAACGTTATACGATGCTGATGTTTGGTGGACTTTTTAACCGATCAGAGTCTAATGAATGAATCAACGGAGTCCGGAGGGAAATGGAAAAGTGGGTGATTCGATTCGCGAAGAATAGGCGTCTATCATTCGTAGTACCCGGTGTATGGGATTTTCACTGTGCCCCTCACAACCTCCCCCCCCCCAGTATTAAATTTTAAGTCTGATACTATATACTTGGTTAAGAAAACAAACCCTCGATTAAAAATAATCAAGTTGAATATTAGTTCTTTGAAGATCAAATTGGACAGTTTTCGTAGAATTGGATCGCACTTAGCAAAAAAGGACTAGCGCGATTAAGGTGTTATCATAATCGTTTAACCTCCTCCATTTTTTTAAAAATACTTAATTTATATACAATATTAAAATTCACACCATGATTTTCCTTTAAAATGAACAATTTTTTGGTGGGAAGTAAAAACTATTTGCCATTCTGAGAGATTTCTTAGGTAATTAAGGAGAAGCAACATTTTCACAACACTGTAATCGCGCTGATTCCTTTTCGCTAGATGCGTTCCTATAGCACATATGCGTTCATGTTGACCAGCAACCGCACCGCACTGCCGCACTGTGTTTAGCGCAATGCGTTAAGTATTCCTACAGTCTTGTAGGCGCTAATATGCTTTTCCCGCCGACCAGCGACCGCACTGTGAGCGTTAGGCGCAATGCGTGAAGTATTCCTACACTCTTGTAGGCGCTAATATGCGTTCCGTGCTGAGTGACGACCTCTCTGTGTTTAGCGCAATGCACGAAGTATTCCTGCAGTCTTGTAGGCGCTCATAAGCGTTTTCGCCGACCGGTTGCCGCACTATGTTTAGCGAGATTAGAACCGATGACACAGATTTAGATTTGAAAGAAACTTTAGAAAAAGAGGAGAGATAATGAGTTTGAAGAATGGCTGAGTAAAATTGATGAAACGATTCATGCAGAGTGCAAACAAAAGTATTCGAATAAATAGTATTTGGAAAATTAAAGGAAAACAAGAAGCAGCAGTTAATACGAGACAATTTTCACCCTTCAAAAAGAGACTTACACTGGAGGAAAATTTTGACGTACATAGATAGCTGCATAGATAGTGCAGTAAAGATTTGCTCTGAAGTTTGGAAAGGAAGTAAGAGCAGATTTTCGGGAACAAGTGAAAAAGTTCTCACCCAAGAATGTAAAATTACATAATAAGTCGCTTTACAGCACTCCCTCGCGCTCTACGACACCTAACCTCCACTGCTCTCTTTCAAACCACAAATTTTGGGGCATTAAACTGTAAAAAATGTAACAATGTAAAATTACACTTCTTAAAAAAATGGAGTATCTCCTATAGAGGAAGAATAGGCAAAAAACGGGTACGAACACGAGTTGTAAATAGCTTTGATCTCGTCTCTGATGCAGCAACGCACCATTCAGAATGCATGAATAAGTTATGATGAATTAGAAATGGTTTTAACGTGCCTACATATAATCATTATAATTTTCCATCGGAAAAATTGCCTAAAGACAGCCCGGATATTTCAGAGAAGACACTGAAGTCAGTCAAAATTACCTAAAATATTCGGCTCAATCAATGTGGAAGCATTTCACACGAGTGAGAAGAGTGTGGGGTTACCCTGAAAATCGGAGCTACCCGAGATCTCATAACGTAGCTATGAAAATCGGCGCAGTAGAATGCTGGAACTAAGCGTTACCAGATATGCAAATTTAGGAGATCGCGGAGCTTATAGTTTCGAAAACAATAAGCATATAAACTTATACGCACGAGAACAACACTGGAACTTTATTAATATGATCAGAAACAATAAAAAAATTAATGAAGAAGTTCTTAATACACTTTTTGATATTTCCTATTTTTAAACTAGGGCGAGCCTGAATTTGACGTATATCTTGCCTTATATATTCTCTTTGGTTATTCCTGAATGTAGGCCTGCTCAACGAACTAACGATAGCAATGCAAATTGTCAAACTATTTTTTTGGCGTCGATTTAAGTTGAATACTCTTAAGGAGTTGTTGGAAAAAAATGTCCGAAGGAAAGGTTTTCAGATCGTTGCAAAATTTTTGAAGGCCAAAAATTTTGAAGAAGAGGAGCGGCAAGTTCTCTTGATTGGCCAGATTCACCGAAATTTCGCCAGTATCGCTAGTGAACGTGAACTTGTACTTGTCATTGAAAATGATGATGATTTGGAAATTCCTATTTTTCACGTCGTTTAAAATGCAGACTTGGATACCTGTAAAACCAGGCATAGGCTTTGGTATGCACACGCATGCGGGAATTGGGGTGAGTAAAAAAGTTATGAGCACATCTAGAAGAAACTTGTTGCAAATTTCCGAAGCCACATTACCGATGGCTGTGGTCCCATTGTTGGGACTTGGAACTGGAGAAGTACTAACTCCGTTTGAGAGAACGGCGCAATAGAGTGCAACGGCGAAAGCAGACGCTAGGACTGAGGTCTTGAGTCTCTCCATTCTGCTGACCTAAGATCAGAGTACTGTAACAAAAAGTAAAATAATCTTATCATCAATATTATGTTGTTGCCTAACCTCTGTCTTGACGATTCAAAAAAGTTGGCAGCACTGTTTTTACTCCATTAAAATTTATGGAAAACAATCGATTCCCCGGTGTGGCAGCTTGTCCCGTCAAATATCGATATTTTTAATGGATTTAAATGGAGGTAAAACAATGTTGCCAACTTTTAAGAATCGCCACTGTCTCTGTCTCTTTTACTCTCAGTTCATTGCTATCAGTGGCGAGGCGTGAATGATAGACTATCGATATTTCCCCATCTGGAGCTATGGTAAGGAATCGATTATTGAGGTGTTTGTTACGAACACCCTGTTTATCGATCCTTTTCCATAGATTAAGATGGCAGATCAATCGATATATAGCAAAGCACGCCGCACGCTGCACCCCACTATGATTCCTATCTGTTTTTCCGCGAGAAAAACCCTTACATTGTGAAAATCAAAATCGATATGACATACTTCAACATGGAAAACTTCTTCTTACCTGTTCTCTTTGACGTCATTTACTGCACAGAAAATTACGGAATTAACAATCATAGAATACTAAGCTATCAGAAAGGTAACCGTCAGTTCCTTTCGTAAGATTATTAAGAGTAAGGTGTAATGTAAAAATCTTAACGTATAGTTAACTTTCATCTTTTAATTTATTTCTTTGTTAATTCTAATGTTTTGAGAATTAAATTTTCAAATAAAAGACCAAACGCGTATCCCCCTTTTAAGTAGCGGTCCCCTCCTTAGTGGTTTTTTAGTATTTTAATAGTTAGGGATTAGTTAGGGGGTCAAAATGTATTTAACTTAAATTCCCTAAGAAGTTTCCAAGGGAATTATAAGGTTACAGCCCTGCCTAACGCAAGCAGTCAAAGCTTAATGGAGTGAGATAAATGAGTATCTCTTTGATAGATAACTATTCGCACTCCTTAGTACTGTTGTTGTCTATTTTCAAAATTGAGCGCAATCCTTAAGTTGACGATATCCGCCAATAGGTTGACGCATTGTCTATTCGAAGTTTTTGGAGCATGAGGACATTTATGTGTTATTCGAATAGAGAGCTATTCGCGCTACACAGTATGTTTTTTGCCTAAGTGGCGAAATTGAAGGAGAATCTCAAACAACCATATACGCGCATTGTCAATTAAATACAAGTTTATGAATCGAGCTATGAGTTTTTCGAATAGAAAATTATTCGGGCTCTCCGGCGGATTTCGTCGCTCCTCTAAAGAACATGCTGTTACATGGACAATAGGGTTCACTTAGAAATTGAGATATACGCCCTGACTCAGAGGGACTACGATTTGTTGCCTGATACGGCGAAATTAAAGGCAAACCTTAAGTTAAAGAGAAGTTTCGATTAGTCTACGTATTTTCTATTGAATTCATAGGAATTTATAGCTTGAGATGAGAAGCACTTTTCAAAATATGAGGAACAGGTAAGAAAAATGGCAACCTTTCAGGTGGGGGAATACTTGTTTTCCCAGGGAGGAATCAGGAAAAAATGTTTAATTAATAATTTCAAAAGCAAAAGAATGCATGAAAACCCGTTTATCTTCTCCAAAATTCCTTCATATGTTGGTTTGCTTGTAATTTAGACAACTGGAAAAAAAAAAAAAAAAAAAAAAAAAAAAAAAAAAAAAAAATCATGAGCACATGACAAAGATAATCAAACGGAAACTATTCTGCTACAATAAAATCACTTGAGGTATTTTGTGACAATTTTATTTCCAGCTTTCTCCAATTCTATTCGCGAGGAAGGGTTGTTGAAATTATATCAGCATTCAAGAGTTGGAGGCGTAAAATTCAACCATTAAAACGCTTTACATACTTTTAACCTCTTGTTTTGAGGAGATTTAACACAGAGAATAAAGCACACTTAGAAAATGACCAAAAGCAATGGAAGGAACGCGATTATAATTAAATGAGCTGGCGATGCTAAAATGAATTACCACTTTTCAGTTTCTAGGAGTTGTTTTCGCCCCTTAAAATTTTTGTTCGGCTCGTCGAGAATTTTAGCGTTGCACCCCGAAAATTGAGCAAAACTGCGGTCAAAGTGACAGCAAGTAGTCTGAGATGTTTCTCGTCGAATTTTTCTCGAGTGCAAAAATCAGAAAAAGACCGTGGTCGACCATTACACACGCGCAGCAATGTTGCCGATCGGCACATGATTAACCAACCTTTCCGAAATGAAATTGTGTAAAATGAACCATCATCATGTTGGGTTATTATTTTAGAATGCTGATACACATCTAAGCGGTGGCAATCCTGGTCTTGCCTTCATATTTGAAAAAAACCCTCTCTTGCACGGAGAAAAAAAAATTCGTGCATGGGATCCGAAGTTGAGGTCATATGAATCTCTGAAGTTTTCTGATCACACATCCGAATACTTGAGGTCGAGCTGCCGAAGTTTGGGTCAGACATCGAGGCACTTCGGTATGTACCGGAGTACTTCAGATGTGTGATCCCTTCGGTATATATCGAGGTACTTCAAATGTCTGACCCGAACTTCAGCAGCTGGACCTCAAGTTTTTAGATACGTGATCCGAAAACTTCAGGGATCCATACGACCTCAACTTCGGGTCCCACGCACGAAGTTTTTTTCTCCGTGTGGTTGCCCCGATTAATATGCTCATGAAAATTGGACCATCTATTAGCAAGAAAAAAAAAAAACACTAAGAAATGTGGCTCCAAATTGCATATAACAAGGTCGTAAAATAGTGCTGAGTCCCCTCTATTTTGCGGGGAAAGCAAGTCCAGAGTGTCTTTCTCTTTTGCTTCAACCTGCCGGTATGTAATGCTCTACAATTGACTTACCTAAGTTAATCTGAGAGGAGGTAAACGCAAGACTATATCACTGACGCGTCCGAGTCAATCCCTGGTATTTTAATGGATATTGCAGATTACTAGGGGTTGTGCCCCCTGCGCTCGGGGTATACGCACTCCAACCCCCAAAAGGCGCTTTGCGCCCAACGCAAGTAGAGCGGGTTCAGCTGGAGCCCATTGTCTGGCAATAGCCAAAAAAATTATGGAAATCGGCCCAATAGAAGTAGAATGAAGTGTGACAAAAAAAAAAAAATAATAATAAAAATGTAAGGTCAGAGAGCTTATAGCGATGATACAATGGCAAAAAAAGCCATCCTCACTAGTTTTTTTTTTACCTTGAGTAATAATTTTAGGTCAAAGATTTCTTGTCAAATGGCTTTTTAAAGATGGAGGTAATCGTAAAGAACAATGCTAAAAAATCTGCGTGCCAAAAAATTCCCTTAGACCTGTGAGGTAAGGACAAATTACATAACTTGAAAATGATGAAATATTCAACGACCTGTTGGCTATCAGGTAAAAAGTGAAAATTTTGGGTTGTTTAATATTGTTGGGAAATGAATAGCGCCGTAGATAAGGGAAGCATTGACTTGAAATAAATATCGGAAATTGGATCTTGCCAGTTTTTTCCAGAGTAAATTTCGTAAATAAAATTGAGCGTCAGATTTCGCCCCCCCCCTTTTTTTCATTCGTGTTAGCCTCCAGGCTACTTGTAATACTTTACTTGTTCTCTAGAAAACTAGTCAACGTAGTTTCTTGAAAACTTTTTTGGTTTTTCTTATTTGTCAGCAGAGTATCGGTATCAATTCCAATCTTGATTTTCTTCGAACAAATTAGATAAAAGCAGAATTTTGAAACACCGCAACAAAGATATGTGGTCTCGCATATTGCCGATCGATATACTATGTTTGTGCATACAGTTGTAATATTAATGAAGGTATATCGATGGCGAAACCACCAAACCATGTATCTCGTATGCGCGAGTTAAAAATCTCTGCTCCCATTTTATTTTTTAAAGGAGAACGAATCAAGATCATTCTTTGAAGTTTTTTCTCAGAATTTGCCTGGCACAGAGAAGAAAAATCACAAAAGTTTTTAGAATGGACGCGCGCTCAGTAGTTCTCCATTAAAAAAATGAATTATGACAGGAAGTCTGCAACGTCTGGGACCGAGATACGTGGTTTGGTAATTTCATCATTGATATACTTTTTCCGCTCATCAATGCGTTCCAATTAGATTTTAAAACCTGCATGAGAGCGTATTTTTTACGTCCAAGGAAAGAAATTGGAGCAGAATGATGTTACACCCTTGTAATGACACGTGCCCCCGACGTAAGAAACAATCGGAAATAATTCCACAATACTTCCGCTTTTTTTTAGGCAAAAATTTGTAAACAATAGATGCATCTTCATTTCTGGAATACTATTTCATTGTCACTGAGCAGTTTTCCCCAAGTACAATATTATCAAAGTACACCATACTCCGGGAAACGGTTTTTGTTGAAAAATTCGCACAAAGCGGTGTAGAGGTGGAATTCAATAGATTTTAAAAATTCAAGGTCTGTGGCCTCCTCTAATTTTGAGAGTCAGTGCGTGTAACACACTCACCGTTGATTACCTAGGACTTCGCGTCATTTTTTGAACTACACTGTCAGGTGCGTCAATAATACTTTGGACTCAGGATAGAATTCACCGTACTTCTGGTAAAATTTGCCATAATTTTTTCGTTGCAATACATAATAAAACAGAACAGATTGTAAAACTTCATTACTCAGATTTGCAAATTTATTCCAGAAATTTTAAGCACCTAATTACTTACGGAAAATACCAGATTCAGAGAAAAATTTTAGATCTTAATAAAAAATTAACAATTAAAGAGCAAATCGCAAAATATGAATATAGATTTAAAAATATCTTTTGGAATATCTTAATTTAAGGCATTTATATATTGTCGCGTCTTTGTAGGTAAAGTTCTCCACAATGGCGCAGTAAGCCAATTGGACGTATTTCTGTGAAACGGAACTAAGCGCCAATTTGAGTTCCTTTTGAGGAATTTAGAATCCCGGATAGCGCGTTTTGTCAAACGGAACTAAGCGCCATGGAAAAGCATTGCGAGTATAGGAACGAATGAGCCCGACGGCCGGTTCCGCCACCAATCCAAGCCCCCCTCTACCTTCCTCCCCCGATGGCGCTTAGTTCCATTTGACAGAAATACGTCCAATTGGGCAAGTGCTTTGAAAAAAATGTCAACACTGCAACTAAATTACTCTAGGCAGAGGAGCTTCCTTGCACTTCAATGTCGCAAAGCTTCATTTGATAAATTACTTATTTACCCAAAAAGGGTTACAAATTCCTCTTGAGAAGTGGTCAGAGTTGTTTGTGTGATTATATAGTCTAAAATGCCGAATATATTTTTGATGTGAAACAAGCACCCATCAATAAGTAACGAAACAGGTCGCCAGGTGAGTTTTTGAATCGTTGCGATGTGATAATGCCCCTCTTTGGCTCTCCTCCTCTCACTTTTGGTATCAACTTTTTATAAGTAGCTATCAATTTTAAATAAACTGCAAATATAAGCTGAAATTCCGTTTTTGCATAAAATAGGCCACTCTAAGGTCAGAAAGTCGGTTTCCTGTGGCGTGGTTGCAGTGCTGGCTCTTTAATCAGGAGGTCCCGGGTTCGATTCCTGGCTAGGCGGATCCAGAAATCATCTCATGAACGAGATATCAACACATTTGTTAACACAGATCAAATGGAAGTTAGATTAAACGAATGACGTTATTATGTTTTTCATTTAAACTACGTTGATTGTAAACACTTATATCTTTTTTAGAAAACGATGTCTACACTTTTTTTCGTGCGATTAGTTTTACTCGAGAAATTTGGATGAGAAAGCATCCTGCCTCCTTTGGTGGTCCTTCCACCGAACGCAAATATGTCGAATAAATTGCTACCAAAAGGGGGAAAACACCATAAAAATCATATGCCCTCATCAACTTTGATATCAAATATACTATTACGTAGCAACCCGAGGCAAAGACGGTTCAATAAAACATACAAAACAAAACCGCGAGCAGCAAAGCTGAAAACACTGATTTCAATTAGTGTGTTTGGTTATCTTAACCCGCGGTTTTGTTACTATATTCTATTGAATCGACTTCCATATGGACTACATTTTGCAATTTGGAACTATAAATTCTGGCCCGGTTTAAAAACAACGTATGTGCCATTAGTTTCCCTATGCACGTAAGTGTTTTTTCAGATGAGCTAGAATTTATAGTTCCAAATTGCAAAATGCAGTCCATATGATCTCGAAATTGATGATCATATCTCTACTTGATTTCCGTATGTTAACAGTGGAAAAACAAGGATGAAAAAACGGGAAACAAGGCTAAAAATACACAATTAATGAAACCCGAGACGTTTCGACTCAAAACTGAGTCATTTTCAGTCGGAAACAATAAAAATTTAAATGAAAAACGATAAAAAACCTGAGCCCTACATGGTGGCGGCCGGGATCTGAGAGAAAGAGAAAATTCGATCATTTTCGGTCATCGGTTGCTGGCATCAATGAGCCTTGTTTGTTATCAATTTTCTCTTTCTCTCAGATCCCGGCCGCCACCATGTTAGGCTCAGGTTTTTTATCGGTTTTTCTTTTAAATTTTTATGGTTTCCGCCTGAAAATGACTCAGTTTTGAGTCGAAACGTCTCGGGTTTCATGAATTGTGTATTTTTAGCCTTGTTTCCCGTTTTTTCATCCTTGTTTTTCCACTGTTATCATTGTCTTGGGCTGCTCTTAAAAATTTGTATCTATTTCTGTATGTTTCGATGCAAATATTCATTCAAAATGGGTTTCCAGCTTTCATCTTCACTCTCGGAGCTCATACCAATATGATGCGGACACGGATCATGATCCTCATTGCTGCTATGATTGTGTGCAGTGATATATGGTGCTCCAATGCTACTCCAGTTACGAAGTCCGGAACTCTTGTTGTGACGCAAACTGACGCAGCAACCTATGATGAAGGCGGATTTTTAAAGCGAGAATACTCATACATTTCCTCTCTTTGGGAGAACTGGTGGTGGCCTCAATTTTACATCTTCTGAGGGAAACCAGAACTGCCCAAAGTCATCACATATTACTGAACATGGAGCCTTGCAGTTGATCGCAAATTTTGTCAATAGTCAAAACCTGATTTGTATCAATAAATATCGAGAACTGAACGAATAAAGGAGTAGAATTAAGTAAAATTAATTGATTCCAAATCCATAATTTGTATTGTGAGCTGTGGTGGCTTGGAAGTAGCAGTACCTAGTTGCGTTTGCTTACAGCACTTTGACTGCATTCAGTCAGTGCCATCATCATATGCATATCAGTGACAATATTTACAGCGAGCCGCAGGGTTTCAGGACATTTTGTCAACGATTTTATGTCCTCGCACCTTTTTTGTCCAGTAGTTTACGCTCACACGTAAAATAAGCAACAGTGACTTGGTCCAAGCGTTATATTTTAGTAGGTATGTAAAATTATCTTGACAATATGGAAATGAGAAATTGAGAGAGAAGGAGGTGTTGTTATGGTTGCTCATTTTCTAAATGAAATGTTATTACTTTCTCCTTTCGAATCATCTTTTTAAAATTGTCCTTGGTGAATATTTGGTTTTATTTCTATCCTTAAAGTATTTGATGTACAATATACCTTATATATTTATAGGTACTTTTTTTATTTTTTTAATTTTTTGTTTACGGAATTATTACTTCATTTTGAAAACATTTATATTTTTAAAACGTGGCAAATATTTGTAAAACTTTTTCCAAGCGGCAATAATCTTAATGAGCCGCAGTTGTGCCGACAGAAACTGAAAAAATGAATAAAAGAGGGCAAAAAACCAAGAATCACGCAATTTTTTTGTTTTTAACTTATTTGTACATCGATCTTTTAGCGTCAAATACGTCAAATTTTGAGCATTTGGTTGCGCGTACACCTCGCTGCAGCACAATAAAAGCACAACATGTAAAAGAAAAAATTAAAGTGCTTTGGAAATCATTAAATTTGACACGGAACCGCCAATATTTGAAAAACGCACATTATAATATTATTCTCCTTTGATAAATTGATACATATTTTTTTCCCCATCAATTTAAATGAGAATAATCAATGCAGAGTGTGCAAACATTTCAAAATCATGAGTTAATGACTATGCGAGTATAAATATTAAAGTCTAATAGAGCCGAGCGGCGTGCTGCCAGCGCGAGAGGCTCACTGGCACCTACAAACCTAAGTGGATACTTCACGCATTGCACAATGCTTGAAGTATCCACTTAGGTTTGTAGGCGCCAATGCGCGTTTTGCGCTGGCCGCTCGCCCGCCGTGCGGCGCGCGGCGGTGCCTGAAGCAGCTGTTTCACAACAAATGTGTTGCACAGTATTATACGAAATTGAACGTATTAAGAATGACAGGCATCCTTTAAAAGTACAGATCTTTCCTCGCAAAATAAATCAAGATACTCATCGTACACAGGAGAACTCCAAAACTCCCGTGCCGAAAAAACGCGTGGACGTAAATTACTGGAAAAAACAGGTGCGCGGACCAAAAATCGCTAACGAAATGTCCTATAACCAGCCGCAGTCGACTATTTCGCATGGGAAAAGCTTCATAACTTTATTCAAAGTGACTTATTGGGAGCAGTAAATTTTATTTTATTTATTTTTTTTTTAACAGTGACTTGGTCAATTTGATTCAGTTTACTTGGTACCGCAGCTCAGTCAAAGAGAGTAGGTAACGCGCGAGAGACGGAGATTCTGATTATTTCAAGTAGGGCCAGAAATACCTATTAAATGCAAATTATCGAAGTTTAATTTTAAGTATTACAACATCGGTTCATCATTCTTTTCAGGTAGTAAGAGGCTGTGTTTTTATGGCGTTTTTTTTCGTTCGTGTGTGGGGACTTATGGATAAGCTTGTATTCCTCAAAAGCACATTGATGTTTAAGATTCCTTGCAAGTTGGGAAAATGTGTTTTCACTTTTTAATTCCATTATGTATAATCAATTCTGGGTCAGACCTGTAGTTTACTTCGAAATATGACGATTATTTTAAGCACTTAAATGGAAACTCCATTGTTCGTGCCACTGATGCTTAAATTTTTTTTTGCTTTTGTCCATTCACATTTCCACCTCGTTAAGGAAAAATGAAGGATAAATATTCAAGACGTGCCAAATTTCTTTTAATTAAAAGCACTTTCTGACAATCGTGCGAATATTTTATCTTATTTTTTTTATTTTTTTATTATTTATTTATTGATCATTTATAGTGAACCTCCCCTACACAGGAATTATACACTTTGCTTATGAACTAAAAAACAGGTGAGTGTATAGACGACCGAGCAGTCTATACCTTTTCTAAAAATTAAACAACTGTTTTAATAGAATTTGAATTTTTTCTTACATAATTCGGAAAATTGTATTTCCAATGTACCTGGAAATTTCAGGGAAAACCTTGAAAAATAATTATTCTCAAATATCAATATCCTTGAGGGGAAAATTCGTGGGATCTGTGGGAGGGGGGAGGGGATGTTGAAAGCTCATGTAGCGTTCCTCCATGGCAAAGCAAATTTGGCAATTGCAGTAGCCGGCGCAAACTGATGCAGTCACAAGTCGCACCCTCGCACGTCGAACCCTCCGCCGCCGCGCCCAGTTATTGCAGCTCAATACCGGCGATGCCAGATTTGCTGTGACTTCTGAATTTCTTCCGTGACCAATGTAGAGGATGCAACTTATTCTGCATAAATTTGTTAAGGTGCTCCTCCCTATGCAAATGACCGACTCGGCTTTCCACGGTCGCCATTATTGTACATGGAGGAAATTAATTCGGCTGATGGATTCTACCGCCTAAATTCGCCCTGCTTTTCGTGTCACGTAGTTTATTGAGTCTCATTTTTCCACACCTAGATATTTGAGAAGACAATTTGTCATTGGGAGCAGCCGTCTCCTCCCTGGTCGCTAGATAGCAATGCATATTGATAATATTATTTCTGAAAAATGTATTCATTCACTGAATTCTTAAAACAAAGTTAAGAAACCCCAAAAATAAATAAAAGGAAATAAACTTGACGGCACTACTTTAAAATCTCCCGTGAGTAGTATTTTTCAATTGTAGCGATGACCGCTAGAGATTACTTTTAAAAATTTGAAGAAAAAAAATTGTGATAAATTCAGTTTTTACAAAACTCTGCTCGAGAATCTTTTAAGTAAAATTTACGTAAAAGTGTCTTGATAAAGCTACTAATTTCTTTGAGACTTTTTTCACATAATGTACGTTTCAGATGCTTAAAAATTACAGTGGATTTTTTAGGGTTTTTTCAAAACACTTTTTCTACTCAAAGCCTTTTTTAAATTTTACTGAAAAAATCCCATAGGAGTGTATCTTGAAACTTACATTCTAACTGTAATTTTCGGAGTTGTCATTTCAAAAATTAGAGGTACTTTAAAACCGCTTATTTCCTCTATTTTTCCGAGTGTAAAAAATAACAATTTAAGCACATGCTAATTTAGAGGTATACCAATCGCATTGGAACGGTGACACCATACAAATTATCAATGTATTATGATGATGTCTTTCAAACAGCGAATCAGAATACAATTAAAATCTTGGGGTGTATCTAGTCCCGAATTTGATAAGATAAAGCTTACAGAGCTACTACCGTGGATACACCATCATTGTTATTCTTTTCTCGGTGGTTGAAATTATTTTGGTTTCAGTACAACCAATCCAACTGTGAGGATGCTACGGTGCAACTCTTTTACGTAAAGTTGTACCAGGGCCTGAATCTGCAGCTATGGCAACATTCACGGTTTTTCCTCTGAATGTTTTGAGAGTATTTACGTAGTCTCTTATACCAAGAACTCTGACTGAATAGTGTCAGAGTAAAAGAAACTATAGCTTCTGTAATGTTTAATTGCAAGTCTCACCTAAAATTGCAGTTTGACTTTTCCAGTTTCTTTTGTGGTACTTAACAGTTTTTGCAGTTTTGGTAAAAATGCTCAGGTCTCGTTAAAAATGCAGCACTGTGACCAAGAAGAAAATGTTGTTACCTTTTAAGTATATTACAAAAACAAAGCTAACATGACGGATGCTGTGTTTGGTCATCACAACGTTTCGATCGTCTGACTCAAAAGTGAGAGACACACACACTCACAGAGTTAAATTGAGACTTGTGAACACAGTAACTGAAAATAAAACTTCAAGTTAGGCAAAAATCCAACCATGAGCATAAAAACTACACTGAGTCTGCTACACAAAATATATAAAGCCAACTGAGTTGACATTCCATCAATAAAGTTGCACACAACATCACATTGAACATATATAAAATTTATAAAATCCATTTCTTGACGAAACGTAGCCCGTATAGCTCATTTTCGAATTTTACCGCTTCCGTCGGCTATTATCTCTTATTTGTTAATGGTCAGTTTGCCTAGAGAAGGGTGCTAAAAAACTTTCGACGGTGAAAGTCTGCAATCACATAACTCGTTTGCGGTGTCTGAAAATCTCCGCCTCCCTGTTATTTTTTTAAAGGAGAACAAATTGACATCGTTCCTTGAAGTTTTTGCAGGATTTTCTTCGCACAGAGAGGAAAAATCACGGCAGTTTTAAAGAATTGCTTTTGAGTAGTTTTCCGTTAAAAAAATAAAGTATGACATGCAGAAATTCTGCGACATCGCAAACCGAGTTATGTGATTGCCGACTTACACCGTCGATTATCCTACATGAGTAAATATTCTCACAAACTGCTTATCGCGTATAACTTGTCGAACAGTTTCAAGCATTTGTATACTATTTATTTCTTATTATTGCAAAAACGGGAAAAATGATTCAAAACGATTAATCCCCAGGTAGTTTCGGACCTCCATGTTTAGAGATGCCACATTCAAGTAGAGGAGGGCTAAAGCAAGAGAGCGGGTCCATCCACCCTTACCGAGAATGCAAATATGAGGCAAAAAATCGCCTTTATTATAGGCAGTATGACTTAAATTAAGATGAGAATACATTGGGTTTCAGTCTTCTGAGTTTGAAACTCTGTAAAAATCCGCTCAAAAACTGTTGTTAAGTTCTCAAAAGTTTCAGCTGACATGCCTGTAAATAGCTAAACTCAAAATGTATAATTCTTCTAAAGAGAAAAAGAGACAAATTCATGCGTGGAGTTCCTCTCACTGGACGATTCATCTCTTCACCCTTACTTCTTGA